TTTTATCTGAGATTAGGTTTTGAAATCAAGTCTGAAAACTGCAGACATCAATGTGCTAGGAAGGACACTGCTCAAATCACGTACAGGTTGCCATGATGCTTCCAAGAATGAGGACCCCATGTACTCGACTCTTCATAAATAAAGGCACGTCCCACTGGCAGTCACCTCAGCCACTCCCTGGTACTGAGCAATCACCCTATCTAAAGCTCTGATGGCTGCTCTTGTCACTTTGTGATGCGTTTCTCAGAAGAAAGCTAGCTAGGTGGAGGTATCCAGGTGCTCACAGGTGTAACCCAGAGGTTTAAGGAACAAAGTCACACAACATGGTAGCAGTATAGGTTTTTTTTGTTACTGATGTAACACCAGAAATGAAAACAGAAAGCAAATGGCTACCACCTGTAGCGAGCCTCTTTTTGGCTCAGCACCAGCTGCCACTTACCTCTGCCTCTGAGCTGGGAGCCAGGGGGGTCCTTGGGGAGGGCTGCCATGCCTCTGAACCTGCCAGCACCCTGCCACACAGCTGTGCTACTCCTCACTCTGAAGCATGTTAATGGCTGCTTCTGTGGCTTTCTGCTGTCCCTGAGTTCCTCTGTAGACAGGGAGAGACTTGAGTGAGGTTCAGGAGGCCCCAGGTGGGACTGGAACTCCCAGTTCCCAAGACAGGAGCCATCCCTGAGTACACCACTGTAAATATTTTGTAATGTGATAAGTTATCAAGGATAATCCTAAAGTAGCTACAAGTTCCTAACCATTCTTGATCTCAAGCCAAAAACACTGTAGAGAATGTAGCTTTTTGGCAACAAATATTTTTGGTAGCTCTCCTCTGGGTGCAAACCACGCAGAGACATCAGGACGCCTCCTCCTTTGTGAGTTTTCCAGCAGTCATGTCCACATGGCAATCTGAGCACAGACAGCCCATGCCCTTGGTGCAGTGGGGAGCAGGTCCCCGCAGCTCCCCCACGGAAAGGACCTGAGGGCAGAAGAGTTCAGGTCACTGTGATACACTCCTCATGTCTCGTGCAGTTTTGAGAAACCCAGCAGCTCAAAAGCAGTATCTTGGCAATTTAAAACAGTAGAACTAGCCTTTGGGCAAATGTCCTACAAATCGTGAGACACTGGTAAATTATATGTAACCCAAAAATTGATTGCAAAGCAGTCATTTGCCTGTAACAAATGACTAATCAAGGTCTGATTTCCACTCTTTGCAAGACCACCTATGATTTCAAGTCTAGACGGGCATCACTCTTTCCATACATTCTTCACCCAATTAAGCTAAACAGCCATTATTTCTTCACACTAATATAAGAATTATGAGTGCTGGTACATTTTGTTTTGTCTTCGGTTTCTGCTGACAAACACAAACAGCCTAAGGGAGGTCCCCAGCTTTCTCAGGAGAAAAGCTCTACCAAAGAGATTCTTGAGAAATGTTCTCACTTGAGCTTTGCCTGTAAAAATGCATTTTTTTTCCATGGACTCCCTCACCCACAGATTGATCCACATGCATTCACACACAAGCAGTTAAACATTGTGGCTTGGGATAATTTTCCTTTGCCTTCCAGTTGCTTGCCCCACCCTAGGTAAAGCAAAATATTTACAATCTGAATGACAGGAGCAAAATGATGTCCCTGACTGCATCTGTTAGAGAGGCAGACATATGCTTGGCTGTGCATGGGACGCAGCAGCTTTTTCTCCCTCTTTCTTCAGACATTCAAACAGTTTAGGCAAATTTTTGCTTACTTCAAGTCTTTGGCTTCTCTAAATGTGCATGCACACACGGATTCACTTGCCATAAACATGTAGACACATTCTACTAGCCCAGGAAAATCCCTTTCCAAAGTCAGCTTATCACTCTGCTGACAGATAATTTTGAAAGCACATTGGATCATACTGTGTTTGGAGGTCATCCCAAAATTGCTGATATGGGTGAAGGGTGTGGAGAACCCTACACTTTGGCTGCATCTTCAGCATGCATTTTTTTCTTCCTGTCTCTGATATTGTCCTTAAACTGTGCTGCTGCTGTCAAAATCTCCTTTTGCTATTCATAAGCTCCAATGGACCTAACCAACAGTTAGGATCTACACACTTACCTAAAAACCAAGACAAGGTCTTCAGCAGCTTCTAGGTACTTAAAGACTCTAATAGCTTCCTAGCAGCTGAGAGGCATTTTGCAGTAGCAGTCAAACACACGGTTTCATCATGCTCATCGAGGCTAATTTTGCCTGACCCTTTCTCCTGTGGGAGCTGCATGGCCATCAACCAGCACTGCCCCTTCCCAGGTTCCTGCAGTGGATCCAAGACCCCAACAGCATGCGTGAGGCTGCCCGGGAGACACTGACCTCCTCCCACAGCAATGTCAGCCAAGGCCCATTGGGCCCAAGGTCACTCAGTAAATACACCCCCTACTTTCCACTCCACAGCCACTGGCCCCAGCCAAAGTCAATAGATAAGAAACAATCTGTCATTTCCAAGCCACGCTGTTTTGGTTACGATGAGTCAAAAAGACTTGAAAGGAAACACAGATGTAATGAGGTCACCTCATTTCTGGAGCCTTCCTATCCATCAAAGCTCTGGCTGGATTGCCCTCAGAATTTCCACGCACGCGGGCACATAAAAGCACCTCATGTGTGCGCAGTCGTGCCTGCAGGTGCACTGCGAGAGGTTTGGTGTGGCCAGGTATGGCAAGCAGAGAGGTTCAGTTCCCTCTACACTGTGGACTGGTGCCTCCCCATAAGAATTTACTTCAATTATTTCAAATGGCTCCCACTTGCACACCAAAACCACATCTTGCAATAAGAACAAAAAGAAAAATTAAGTCCAAAGGAATTTTACCTATTTCCCTCTCCACTGATTCCACCATCTTTTTTTTTTTTTTTTTTTTTGAAAGAAAAAAATAAAAAAATTGGCCACCAGAACAGCAAAGTAGCCAAAACACTAATTTAATAACCTCCTTCTTCCAAATCCGCCCTGCCCTTCATACTTGCAGGTTTCAACAACAGTCTCAAATTATCCCGCACCTTGTACTGCTTTTCTTCAAAAGCTCGCATGGCGATTTTCCCATCACACGAGTAGAGCAGACCTCGACACAGCTCTCCAGCAACACAGAGTGCTCCCTGCACACTGAGCCGGCGTTACCCCAAGAACGTCTCTCTGGGCCACGGGTGCAGCTCAAGCTTCCAGACGAGCCCCAGCCGCTTCCCCGGTGCATGCTGGGCTTGCACGCGGCCTAAGCCCCATGGCCAAAGCATTCAGCTGCCGGCACGGCGCCTGGGACTGAGCTGCACCACAACCCCAAAGCCTCTGCGCTCCCCTTTCCTCGCCACGCGGCCGTTGCTGCGCGGGAAGAGAGCGCGGAGGGCAGCCGCGAGACGCCCGCTCCACCTAGCGTTAGTTCGCCTGTACTTCGCTTCTTCTTCGGCTTGTTTGCCCTCCATTCTGACTTCCGTGGCTTGCTTTGCCTGTTTAGGATCGTTACTGAAAATATTAACGTTCTGCTGGTTGTTTTAATGACAGCAGTGTCAACATCGACAGAAAGAAAAGCCTCCTGAAGAGCAGAAATAGGGAAATGGCAGAATCACAACTCATAGTCATAGGAGTTGGAAGGGTCTTCTAGAGGTTACTGAGTCCAATCCCACTGCTAAAACATCCTGTGCATCCTACAGGCTGTACCTGTGCAGGATGCACAGCAAAGTGTCTGGACAGGGCTAGAATATCTCCAGAGGAGACTCCACCATCTCTCTGGCAGCCTGTGCCACTGCTCCGTCACCTTCACAGTACAGAAGTCCTTCACAGTGTTTGTATGGAACTTCCCGAGTTCCAGATGCACTGTTGCTCCTTGTCCTGCCACTGGGCACCAATGAAAAAAGCCTGGCCCCATCCATTTGACTCCTGCACTTACAGTGCTGAGATACCGCCTCCACCTTCTCCAGACAGAAGAGTCCCAGGTCTCTCAGTGTTTCCTCATAAGTGAGATGCTCCAGGTCCCTCATCATCTCTGTTACCCTCCACTGGACTCTTTCTATGAGATTCCTGTCTTTCTTAAAACAGGGAGCCCAGAACTGGACACGGTATTCCAGGATGTGGCCTTACCAGGGCAGAACAGAGGGGGAGGATCACCTCCTTCAACCTGGTGGCCACACTCATGTAATGCATCTCAGGATACCATTGGCCTTCTTGGCTACAAGGTCACACTGCTGGCTCATGACCAACCTGTTGTCAGCCAGGACCTCCAGGTCCTTCTTGGCAAAGCTTTTCTTCAGCACATCAGCTCCTAACTTGTACAGATGCATGCAGTTATTCCTCCACAGGTGCAAGACTACACTTGTCTTGTTGAATCTCATTAGGTTCCTCTCTGCCCAACTCTCCAGCGTGTCCAGGTCTTGTTGAATGGCAGCACAGCCTTCTGGTGTGTCAGCTGCTCCTCCAAGCTTTATATAAACAGCAAACTTGGCAGACTTCATCCATTCATTCAGATTGCTCATGAAGATGTTGAACAATACCAGACTCAACACTGACCCCTGGGAAACACTGCTAGTTACAGGCCTCCAACCAGGCTATGTGACACTGACAGCCCTCTGAGTGCTGCCAGTCAGACACTTCTCAATCCACCTCACTGTCCACTCATCTATCCCGCATTTTCTAAGTTTCATTACAAAGATGTTGCAGGAGACAGTGCCAGACCTTGCTAAAGTCAAGGTACGCAACATCCATTGCTCTCCTGTCATACACCCAACTGATGATTACATCCTTGTTTCCTACACAGTTTTAAATTACCCCTCCTCAGTAATAATGACATATTAATCACCACTGAAAGATTAGATTTCAGAGGAAGTGAAGGATAATGTTCTACAAAAAGAGCAGGCCCTTCTCCAAATGCAAATTAACAGAGAACTCAGAGCAGGAGCAAAATGTGAGAATTAAGCAAGATGTCACTACATGGTCCAAAGCCTTCATAACAGCTGAAAACAATCTCTGCCAACTGATTTTTTTCTGTTTTCCTACAGGTGATGGCCGTGCTGCTCATTCCCACACAGCTGTTGGCAGTGGCTCTTGCTATTTCCCTGCAGCTGGTAAAGTCCACTCATGGTGGTGTCTACTATGGAATCAAGCAGCTGCCGCCCCAGGTGCCCCAGTACCAAGCCCTCGGACAACAAGTACCTCACATGCCGCTGGGCAAGGAAGGCATCCCAATGCAGCACATGGGCAAGGAGGTGCCCCACATGCAGTATGGCAAGGAGTACCCCCACCTGCCTCAGTACATGAAGGAGGTTCCCCAGGTGCCAATGCTTGGCAAAGACATGGGTGCCAAGAAAGAAAAAGGTAGGCAGGTCCCTCATCAGCCTGGCCCTGTCACACTCTGCACATCAGTGTTTGCCCCTGGGTGAGTGGGCTGCTGTCAGCTGGATGTGGCATACATTTGCTTTTTTGATTCTCTAAGTCATCTTTCTGTCGATTATCTATGGGACTGAAGTGCTGAACACACAGGACTTACTACACAGTCCTGCACCTACAAGTGTTTTCAGTATTCAGTAAAGAAAGTTTGGAAAATATGAGGATACTTAAGAAAGCAACAAAAAACATCCAAACTAGCAATGCCCACACAACCCTTTTGGAGACAGCATGTGTCTGTGCGACCTCAGCTGGTTAATGCTTTGTGTTTTAAAAGTTCAGAGTAACAACAGTCTCCACTGGCTTCAGTGGCAGAGGGAGGATTTCAGGGTCTATTTCTGGAGTATCTGAACAAGAATAACTCTGCGGTAAAACCAAACCATCTTGTGAGCAAAGGACATTTTCTGTGTGCATAAAACTCAAAACATGCAGAGAGAGGGTTTTCCCCTCCTAAAGAACAGTTAGATCTCTTGCCCCGAAACCTCTTCTTTCATTGAACCTCAAACTCTCACTTTATATTCTCACATTATTCTTCTCACGTTACAGAACAAAAAAGCAACCAGACACCAGCACAACTGCTCCCATGTGGCACCACCTTCACCTGAAATGCTGCATGATCACATACACAAATAAAAACGTGGTTTGGGATAATATAAAGCATTTTATGAAGTGTTTCAAGGGAGCTCTAATTAGCCATATCTATGCCAAAAACTTTTGAGAGCTTAGCAATGCTGAGTGAGGCTGCAGGTTTCCAGTAATATCTTAAAGGAAGCTAAAGCCTTGGTGTTGGCAGTCATACCAACACATAAATTTCTTACTGATACAACTTTATTGTATTGATCTCGCTAATGTAAGCCCTCCCAGCAACAGTACTCTGATGCCAAAACTACTACTACACAATCACACCACACAGCTTCTGCGTCCTTCTGAAAGTTAGTTACTCACAAGTTAGTCTACAGTAATACAGGAGAAAAGTCAGATTTCTCTGCTTAATATTGTACACATGGAAAATGCTATTAAATGGCTCTTATGTGAAAAAAAAAAAAAGCAAACAGAGAGGATGCAAAACAATTCTTTCATATAAACAGAAACACAAGTTGGAAGTAAGCAAAACAGCAAGAACATCTTCTTAATTGCAAACATCAGCCAGTAATTTTCTGGACTTTTCCAGCTACCACAAAACCAAGAGGTACCATATGAAGCAGGCTCAGTTCAAAATTGCCTTTGTGTTTTTCAACTGTTGTGAATTGTACATCGTACAACCATCATTCGATTCATACAATTCACACTCCTACCTTCTCCTTTTTCTTTCTTCTCCTACACAGAAATACCCATGCGCAGCTTAAGGGGTGAGCAAGGCCCCCCTGGTGAGCCTGGACCAAGAGGACCACCAGGGCCACCAGGATTGCCAGGTCATGGAGTGCCAGGAGCCAAAGGAAAACCGGGTCCGCAAGGATATCCAGGAATTGGGAAGCCGGGTTTGCCAGGGATGCCTGGGAAGCCAGGGGTGATGGGACCACCTGGACCAAGAGGGGAGATGGGGCCGAAAGGAGAGGTTGGGCCCATGGGGATACCGGGGCCACAGGGACCACCAGGACCTCATGGACTCCCAGGAATAGGGAAAGCGGGTGCTCCGGGGCTGCAGGGACAGCCAGGACCAAAGGGTGAGCCTGGGATGAAAGGTCCCCCAGGGGTCCCTGGGATCCCTGGTCCAAAAGGGGAGAAGGGTGTTGGGATCCCGGGTTTGCCAGGGCTGAAGGGCCCACCTGGGCTGCCTGGTCCCCCTGGCCCTGTGGGTCTGCCAGGGGTGGGGAAGCCAGGTATGGTGGGGTTCCCTGGCCCTCAGGGCCCTGTGGGCAAGCCTGGTCCCCCAGGTGAGCTGGGGCTGCAGGGGCCTCCGGGTGTCCCTGGGATGCAAGGACCTCCTGGCCTGCCTGGTGTTGGCAAACCCGGCCAAGATGGCATCCCTGGTCAGCCAGGTTTCCCAGGTGGCAAAGGGGAGCAAGGCTTGCCAGGCTTGCCAGGCCCTCCAGGTCTCCCTGGGGTTGGTAAGCCAGGCTTTCCAGGCCCCAAAGGTGAGCGTGGGGTAGGTGGCCTGCCTGGTCCTCTGGGGCCCAAGGGGGAGAAAGGCCATGCAGGGCCGCCGGGCATGGGGGGGCCACCAGGGGAGCCTGGCCAACCAGGCCTGCCGGGCATCATGGGCCCTCCAGGTGCTGTTGGTTTCCCAGGACCCAAAGGAGAAGGCGGCGCTGTGGGGCCACCAGGACCGGTGGGCCCCAAAGGCGAACCAGGCCTGCAGGGGTTCCCAGGGAAGCCAGGCTTTCCTGGGGAAGTGGGAGCTCCAGGGCTGAGGGGGCTGCCAGGCCCTACTGGGCCCAAGGGAGAAGCAGGGCACAAGGGCTTGCCGGGGCTACCAGGTGTCCCGGGGCTGGTGGGGCCAAAGGGTGAGCCGGGGCTGCCTGGTGCCCAGGGCCTTCAGGGCCCCTCAGGCATCCCAGGCATTGCAGGGCCCAGTGGCCCTATCGGCCCCCCAGGGCTGCCAGGGGCCAAGGGGGAGCCTGGCCAACCCGGTCCTCCTGGCTTTCCTGGCGTGGGAAAACCTGGAGCTGCAGGGCTGCAAGGCCCTCCAGGGAAGCCTGGGGCACTTGGTCCCCCCGGCCAGCCAGGTCTCCAGGGGCCTCCCGGTCCCCCTGGGCCACCTGGACCCCCAGTAATCATCCCCCCGACTCCACCGGCTGCGGGACAGTACCTGCCCGAGGTAGGACCAGGAATAGATGGCCTCAAGCCCCCCTATGGCTATGCAGGCAAGAAGGGCAAGGCCGGCGGCGCTGTCTACGAGATGCCTGCGTTCACAGCAGAGCTCCTCACTCCCTTCCCCCGAGTCGGTGTGCCCGTGAAGTTTGACAAGCTCCTCTACAACGGCCGTCAAAACTACAACCCTGCAACAGGGATCTTTACCTGTGAGATCCCCGGGATCTACTACTTTGCCTACCATGTTCACTGTAAAGGTGCTAGCGTCTGGGTGGCTTTGTTCAAGAACAACGAGCCACTGATGTACACCTACGATGAGTACAAGAAGGGCTTCCTGGACCAAGCCTCTGGGAGTGCTGTTGTTCAGCTGATGCACGGAGACAAGGTTTATGTTCAGATGCCATCCGAGCAGGCAGCAGGACTCTATGCTGGGCAATACGTTCACTCATCTTTTTCAGGATATTTATTGTATCCCATGTAAAACAAAAACCAGACACACACACACACACACACACATTCACAAATCTAAGCCTTTCTTCTCTGCTTCAAACTCTTATACCACAAAAGATGCATTTAATGACCGTTTTGGACCATTCTGTTAAAAAGAAAATACAAAGTTTAACATGCACAGCTAGATATAAAAAAAAAAAAAAAGCGTGGTGAACATATTTAAAGGCGTGTATCAGGTTCATAAACAGTTGTTTCGTACCCAAGGGGGACATATTAGCTGTACATTATATATTTCTGTGATGCCGTGCTTCATTTCATCACAATAATGCAATATTAAGGTTCAAATCAGTTTTTGTCACTCACTCCTGCTGTGTATTTGACTGATGCATTGATCACAGTTATGAGATGAAAAACAGTGACTGAAAACAGAGTAGGTCAGTCTCCAATTACATGGAAAAAAATGAGTGGCTTTTTATTTGTTTGGGGGGATTTTGGTGGTGGTGGGTTTTTTTCAACAGCAGGGCTGCCTGACAAGCGGAGGTTCTCTTACTGGAGAGCTTTCCTTCTCTTCCCTTTATGTAAGATATACCTACAGGTTCGTTTTTGTTCTTCCTAAGCAATTTGTTTATTATGGAAAAAGAATACTGACAGCAGAACCGTTCCCTGAGAGCTTTCTCCAGGGGTCTCTGGATTCAGCACACCGCTTTACTCCAGCAGGCACTGGGTTCACCCCCAAACACCACAACACCTTCAAAAAGCCTCCATCTGTACTCGCACCGTTGAAGCAGATGCGGTAGATCAGAGCAAATGTAAGGACTTCACTGTTTGCATTATGCCACGTGATTAAGACATCATAGCCGACACATGGCAATGCAGCAGGGTGGTATAAATTAGCATGGATTCCCATATTCGTGCTAAAAACCTGCAGTCTGTCCAGCTTGCAAAAGGGCACACATATTCTGCCTCTCAGCCAAAATGGAATCAGTTTACTCTTCCATGACTAGGCAAAGCAGAAGTAGCTCTGTTTGCTAACTAACTAACTCATCGCCTGAGATCAACCAGTAACCTTACCCGCAATGCTGATCACACAAATTCATCCGTGAATTTCGTTTTATCTAACGGCTGATTTCCAATCCCTATTTATATGTTACCAATTGTCTAGGAGAATCCGCAGGCCTCAAATCTTTTCTGTATCTGGGAAAAGCGACTTTTATGCAAGAACTGTCTGTTCATCAATGGTGCTAATCTCACCTCAAGAGTAGTAATTTAAAAAACGACAGTGTCCTTCTCTGTGTTTCCCTGTACAGTGCTGCACATCACACACTTACGTTAAGAGTTGCTCCTCACTTCCTCCATGTCTTAGCTAACGCTACTGCTTTTGATTCAAAAATGAACTAGATTTTTCATGCAGAACTAAAATTGGATTTAACTGGCATTACTGTTATTTAAATACAGAGTTTAATGCAGTCTGACATTGACTAAGGACTCCAGTGATATAATGTGGTGCTTTATCTCAGAAATTTTATGGAACGTTGGCAGGAACAGACGGACAGCTTACCAGCCACTGGTGACTTCGGTATGTTTCCAGAATATATGAGATATGTCAAAAGCAAATAATTTTGTATTTAAAATTTTTGTACTGATTTGAAAAAAAAAAAAATATCTTATTAAATATCTTTAAAAAAAAAAAGAAAGAAAGAAAAAGAAAAATGGATCCTCTCTTCATTAAGCAAAGTCGTTAGAAGGAACATTCAACCCATCAACTTCATGTACCAGGCCACAAGGACTGATTTCCTCCAGCTCCCTTGTGGTGGCATGGCTGGCTCAGCACACAGCAAGGTTGAAGTGGGACAGCACAGTGAAGGTCTGCCACTGAAAAAGGCACAGGGGTAAGAAAGGAGGGGAGCTGAGAGATTGGATATATGTGGGATGGGCTGGTAGGTGCTGTACTCAGCCAAAAAGTCAACGTTGGCTGTGGGATGCCAGGCTAAGAGATGTGTGCTACATTCCTACGGTGTGGAAACAACTTTTCACACTCCATCCACGTCCCCTCATCCTGTTGTTCACTCATGGCAACAAGCTGGTGCGAAAGTGGCAACTAATTTCTCACTGATCTAGTTCAGTGATAAACTGCAGTTCCACTGCAGAGAGTAAGTTACAGCCCAGGGTGTGCCACCCCAACCTCGCTTCAAGACGAGCATTTCCTCCATCCTTAAAGGGCACTACCAACATGAATACGCTAAATACCCACCACTTGTGGCAGGAAACTGCTTTTTGAACCGCCCTGAAGATGCTGGCATAGCAGGGGAGGGAAAAAAAAGGAGTGGAACATTGCAATCAGTACCCAATCCCTTCCTATCCCTTCCTAGTACCCTGTGTCTTTCATCACACACCATCTTCTTAGTTAACTGTCTTTCATTTTAGCATTCTCCTGAAAGAACCAAGTAAGATAAGATCAGAAAGCCATGAAGCAGTTTCAAGAGGATGTTTGTCTTGATCTTACCCACTAATACCATGTCCAGTTTTGCTGTTAATCAGTCCAGAGCAATATTTCTACCTGCAGCACAGCTTGGTGTAACCAAGGCTCAAGCATTTTAAGCTCTGTTTGCCCTTCTAACCACAAAGGTTTGTTCTGAAACGTGATACCACATCTGAGAAGGCTGTATTTACTTTACACAGAGCTAATAATGGGATTGGGCATAAACAGCACAGACCTTGCCAAAAAAAAAAAAAAAAAAAAAAAACGAAAAAAAAACCAACTTGAAAGTAACATCTTAACACCATTTATTCACAGATAAATAATTGCTTTCCATCCGTAGCATTCAAAATTTCACTTGAAACATCCATAAGAAAGCCTTCAAAACACAGTTGACACTTTAAAGGCACATAAACTTGAGACAAATTGCAAATAAAATAATGAAGTACTAACCTATATCAGAAACAGACGTTGAGCTTTGCATGGTCTTAAGATCAGGCTCCGCTTAGAAGTGACAGTACTTTATTACCTGCACTGCTAAAAAAAGAATCCTGGCACAGGAAACAAGAGGTACCATACACTCACTGATCAATAAACACAAAAGCTGTGATTCTGTGTTGTTCTCAACAAGCAGCCATGAGAAATGTGATTTAGCTGAATCTGTTAGGCACTGTCCAGTTCATATTCAGTGCAATAATTTGTGACCTTCCTTATCTAGTAACTCAGTGTTTCCTTTAATTATTACAGTAAAGATACTGGCAAAAACAAACAGGCTCCCTAAGGGTCTGGGCCAAACAGAACTTGGGCTGATGGATGTTATCCAGCTTGCTACTTGTGTGTACTTCGGTACTTCAGAGTGAGGTCTTTCTAACGGTGCAGCATTTTGTAGGGCTAGCAGATAAAACACAGGAGCATCTCTGCTGCAAGATGCTGCTGGTGTGAGCTTCAGTCCACTGCTGGGGAAGAGGAAGAGAAGAAGCAGTGGTGAAACCATCTGACTTTGCAATAGATTCAGAAAGAAACTTCACAGGGTACTCATACCTGTGGAGACACGCTACTACACACACAAAAATAGGGGTTGAGCACCTTGGGATTCACAATTTGACAGCTTCTCCACTGATGATGTAATCAAAGTAATGGGCAGCTTTCAAAGGAAAATTTCAGTGCAGAAACCTTGCCTTTGGAAAGGCAAAAAATAAGAAGTATTTGAGGTATGCATTGTAGCCCTTCTGTTATTATATAACAAAATTTTAAAGCCCTAAGGCCAACCTTTGATATTACATGCTACCATTGAAAACGTGACCCAGATAAAATAGGCACCACAATCTGCAGACATTATTGACCAAGTAAATACATTAATTCCTGCCCTCAAGAAGTCCACATAGAAGTCTGTTCTCAAGGCAGAATAGCAGAAGTGGCCATGTGAGGTGGTATGACACTGACAAAGCAGGGCCAGTATACACAGAACCCTTCTAAAACATTTAAGGGAGAAAACCAATGAAAACCAATTAGCTCACTGCTAATTGCTGAAGATAAAAGCTGCTGGACTGCCAGCTGTCCTTTTTTAAAAAAAAACAGTGCCTACTGTTTATCAGTACTATCAAATCTTGCTTCATGCCCAAGCAAACACGCCTGGCTCTGAATATGGCAGAGTCCCCCTGCCATGACAGCAGCCTCAGCCCATGTGGACTCAGTGTTCCTGCAGGAGAGAGAGATGTGGGCAGAAAGCATGCACAGGAGTACTGCCTAATTATCGGAAGGAGAAAGTCATGAACAAGGGAAGACTCACGGAGGAGAAATAAAAAAACAGCAGCTGATAGGGATAAATGCCTGCAGGCAGCATTTTGAGCACATTTACAATATCCAGTGTCAGAAAAGAAGCTTAGAGAGACCATAACAGCGATGTGATTAAAAATGAGAATAAAGGAGACTACTGTAAGTAAAAAATGAATTTGGGAACACCATCTGTTTGCTATGAAGTCCTTTTTACCAGCTATTTTGTCTGTCCTCAGCATAGTGAGACTCCTGCAAGGACTTCTGTGCAAAGAAAGCTCAGCACTGCCAGCTGCATGAAACACCTTTCCTTGCCCTTTTGTTTTCTTGTGGATTTGCCGTCAGTAGTCTGAATCAGTGCAGGGCTGGTGCTGCATAGTCATGAACACTTTCTAAGTGACTGAGGTAAACATGAGGCATAGATGCTGACAGAGCTAAAGGCAGCGTCACTGTTTTCTGGTGCAGAACTCCACCTTTTTCTGTTCAGATTTTTAAGTAAGACCACTTCTGCTACTTTATCACAGAATCACAGAATGGCCTGGGTTGAAAAGGACCACAATGATCATCTGGTTTCACCCCCCCCCTGCTGTGTGCAGGGTTGCCAACCAGCAGACCAGGCTGCCCAGAGCCACATCCAGCCTGGCCTTGAATGCCTCCAGGGATGGGGCATCCACAGCCTCCTTGGGCAACCTGTTCAGTCCGTCACCACCCTCTGAGTGAAAAACTTCCTCCCGATATCCAACCTAAACTTTCCTGTCTCAGTTTAAGACCATTCCCCCCATTTCCTATCACTATCCACCCTTGTAAACAGCCATTCCCCCTCCTGCTTATACACTCCCTTCAATTACTTCTGGTTTCCTCCACTCCTGCAGCAGAGGTACCTGACCTGATCCTCCAGCATGCTCCTTCTGCCCCTGCTGCCACCTGCACACAGCTGTTTGAGGGGCCCCTCCATGCAGAAGCACCATCATGGCTGAACTACCACCTCCTCGTGCCACACTGGGATGCACATTTTTATGACATCTGCAGTTATTTTAAATATGTCCCATTTGCTTGAAATTGAACAGAAGCCAGGAGTCACTAGGTAAAAACAGCGTACAACAGCACAAGCCACCTTTTCTTTGGCAGTGGCTTGCCTCCAAAGTCACACTGCACTGAGCAGCTGCCAAGTGGCAGAGCCAAGGAGCTAGAGAAGCTATCAGGATTTTTTTTAAATCACCAATTGCACTCTGCAAGAGAAATAAGAAAAAGATATGATGGCTCTTCAGTCACTCCAGTGCTTACTCCTCTACACTGCTGCAGCAAAGGAACTGGGATCAGTACTCTTGCAATGCTCAGCTCCTGAAAAAGACAACACTGTGCTCAGGACCTGCTAGAGGCTTGAGATCATATTGTAATTGCTTGTACTGGTTCCAGATGTACTACATCTTTGTGTCTTTTTATTAAAAAGCAACAAATTTTTTCTATCCACTTCGAAGACTTTTTTGAAACAGATTTTAGTGTTTTCTTCAGGTACGATCAGTAGATAAATATAAAGATCTTCCCAAAAAAGCCTGACTCTATAAAAAGATATATAAATAGATCCTGTGAAAGATTCAGAATGGAATTCTACTTGTTCTTTCATTTTAAAAGTTGTCAAGTACATTCCCAGGCAAATACAACTTATTTGGTAGAGTGTCTGAAACAAATCAATACAGGAAACACAATCTTCCCAATAAATGTCTCCATTAAACTCCCATATAAATGCCCACTGATTTAGCTCAGCCACATCATTTAAACCTCGAGAGATGTAAACGGTAGCCAAACAGTAATTCAGCTGATGCAGTCTTACAGTGTCCAGTACATTCTGCTGCTGAAGACAGGAACATTTATTGTTCGTACTTATGCATGTCAGAGTTGTAAATGCTTTGCAGCATGCGAGAAAGAGGATTACAGTTGGAAAAATATATTGTCATTCTTGCAGGAGAACAGAAAGACATACTAGATTCTATCCTGAAGTCTGGAAATCCAAAAACCTGTGCCTCTAAGGTTAAACTCAAGTGTGAACATCTCTGTCTGAGCTCACATTCCTGTTGTCATTTGGGGGAAGCAAGAGACACAAGCAGTCGAGACAAAGCTTCAGTCTTCAAACTCCCTCTATTCTAAGAGAAGTCAAAAACCGTAAAATTTATTGGAAGCACAGCACAGGTCATATGTTTTTTTCCATAAACTGGTACAACATGA